GCATGACTGTTCCAGTTACCCTCGGACACAGGCATCCTGCACGAAAAGACTCTTTCGGTGGGGCCCCGGAGGCCTCGGCTGCTGTGGTGGTGCTCCCCCTCAGAGGGTTGTGCCCCTTCGCCCGTTCCTCTCCCGCCCACCCCACCCCACCCCAGTGGTGCGGGCGGCCGATGCAGAGCCCCCGCACTTGATAATTCCTCTGGGGCTGGTAGGCGGCCCATGGCAGTGATTGTGAGGACGAGGGAGTTGGGGGGTGGGCGGGGGCCTTCCTTGTAGGCTGAGGCAACGGCACCGGAGACGAGCAGGGAATTCATAAGCGTAACGAGCTTTCTATTGCCCCGACGGCAGCAAAACGTTAGCTATAGGAGAAAAGGGGCGGGGAGAGGAGAGGGGAGAGGGGAGGACGATGCCATGTCGTCTTGGTTGGATGTCGTCGTGGTCGTCTGCCGAGGCATTGGGGCGCTATAGGCGCCAGGGGTGTGCTCCATCGCCCCGCGTGGAACCAACCAAACCCCTCCCCCTAACAAACCCCCAATTTCCCCCCCTTTCCCTCCCCCGCTCCAGCTCGAGCCTCATCAAGTCTTATTTGACGACGTGCGCCCATGCCTCCGCCCTATCGCCGACCAACCCCCCGTCCTCCTCCGCCTTCTTCCTCTTGTTCTTCCTCCCTCGCCCCACGCCTTCCCCTCCTCCACTCCACGTCGCCGCTGCTCCTCGTCTCGCCAGGGAGTCGCATCGCTCTCCCGGGGAGACGATGTCTTGACTTGACTAACCGTGAGCAGCGAGGCAATGTGAGCTGCGCATGCGCGAGTGAATGGCGGGAGTGTCCAGGCTATGGTCATCCCCAGGTCTCGCCAGTTTGCTTTTTTCCGGGTCGCTTTTATTCGGGAGTTGAACTATCAAAGCCGATCTGCGCCGCAGATCCATGGTCCCGGTCCTTGTGGTTGGAGGCGTGGCGGGCCCCTCCCTGGTTGCGATCGGGGTTTGCAGCGGCTGCGGCAACCGCTTCGTTCTGCTACCACCACCGCCTGACCGCATGCAGAGGGGCGCGGTGCGGGGCTATGCAAACTGAATAATTCCATTATTAAGGCAGAAAATTGCGTGCGTCTGATGGAACGCCGTGCCGCGGCCGGGCAGCGCGGACAGCAGCGGACATGCTGCTGTGCATCGGGCGCGCTCTCCACGCCACTTATAGGGGGTTGTGGCGGGGATTATTTTATGGGGGGGATGGGCACGCGAATGAATGCGGCTATGGGGAGCATTCGACCGCTCTCCCCGTCCAGTCCTAACGAAACGACCCCTCGTTCGATAAGGGTGAGTTTCGGTATGTATGCGGCACAGCGGTGACGGCGGCGGCGGCAACGGGTGTTCGAATGTATGGGGGTCGGGGCTGCCGCAGCGCAGCGGCCAGCCATACACACTATAAGCGCTGACCATAGCCTTTCAAAGAGCCCGCCAGATGGGAGGGCGGGCGCGAGTTTGGGGGAATGCATGTTGTAGGGCCAGTGCCGGAGCCGCCCCTGTTCTGGAAGTAGTGTGTAGTAATAAACACGAAACAATGACTTTTATTTGTCTGTTTACCCCTCCCCCCTTTCTTCCTCTCTCTCTATCTCCCCTTCCTGCCACGCATTTTAATGAAAGCGGCCTCTTCTGATACAGATAATTAATTTACTCGCGCGTGTATGGCCTCTCTCTCGCTCTCTTTTTGTCTCTTACTCTCTCTCTCTCTCCCCCCTCTGTTTCTCTTTGTCTCTGCGTCTTGCTCGCTCACTTGATCTCTGCACGTGTCTCGTTGTTTTCCGTCTGAAACATAGCCCCACCCTTCTCTCCAAACATTTTTCCGCATGTTGCATGTAAAGCCCAAGAGTTGTGGAATGACCTCAAAGTTGCTTTTATCCCTCCCCTTTGCTTTGGAAAAGCAATAAAACGGGCTTACGCCTTCTATTTGGTGCGGTGTCTAGATGTATTGTACAATAAGTCATGGAAAAAGGTCCCCAACTGGCAACTACGTTTGAGGGAGCGTCAGGCCTCTTTGTTTTCTCTTGACGTTTTGCAGTAGTGAAGTCTTGACCGTATACTTTCGTACTGTAAAAAGCAGTTACACCGTAAATATGACCGACTGCCGAGGCACGGCTATTTGGCGAATGATTGTCGGTCTGCGGCGCTCGTTTCATTTGACTTCGCCATTTCATATTTTTTCCCTGTGAGTGCTCGCTTCTTTTTTTCCCCTCCCTCTCGCTGATCCGCACTGGCGTGCAGAGTGTGTACTTTAGTTCGCTATATCCGTCGCGCCCGCGACCTTCGAAAGGCCGGTGAGAGAATTCCTCGCCTGATTTTAACCAGCGCAGCACCCGCAGAAAATAGTTTCTCTGAATTCCATCGAATAATTGATTCTACAGGGAGATTTTTAAAAATGAAACTTGCTTTGATTTTTAATCAATTCTGATAGATTAAAGAAATTAAAAAAAAAAATGAACGCGGGAAGGCGGGTCCGCCTATTGTCCCCGACCATGCCCGAGCGAGTAGGCAACCCGCCCGCACGCGCGCCTGTGATGCAGTGCGGGAGTGCCACACCTGCTAGGGGTGCTACGGGGTGCGTTGGATCGCCTCTCTCTCACCTGCCCCACGGCGTCAGCGGCGGGCACGCCTCGGCGCATCTCAATAAGGTTCGCGGCCCCACCTTTAATTTGGGCCCGGATGAGTCACGGGCGGCGGACCTCCCCGGAGCTCACTTAAGCCCTTTGTGTCGAGCCCGCGGCTCAGAGGCTCAGCCCTGCCAAGGTCGAGGTCACGCGTTCGGGGAGCTGATGGGGGTGGCGCAAGGCGAGGGTTCAAATCCCACCGGACCAGGTGTCGATAATTCCCCCCCCCCTCAGATCACTCTTTGTCGGTTTTTTTTCCGTCCGAACGCCCAGTGTGGTGGTTATGTCACAACAAGGCTCCGTCCCCGAGAGCCCTCTGCGGTTTGTTGTGCACTCTGCCGCTGGCCGACGGCAGGGCCGGCACACAAGCTGCTTGGCTGAGGTATGTACACCGCGCGCCGCGCGCCTGGCCGGCCGGCCGGACCGAAGGACCACGGCGAGGGTGCCCAGCGGGCTCAGCCCAGCGGGCTCCCCTCAAGGGACTACGGCAGTCCGACCACGGCCCAGCGGACAGGAAAACAAAACAAACACAAACACACACGCACACACACACACACACGCCGCTTGTGCCTTGTCCGCCTGCAGAGCCGAGAGCGGCGGAGCAGGAGGAGCAGGAGCAGCACGGCCGTAAGACTTATTTTAAGTCCCGGTGTGTACTCTGCGTGTGTGTGTGTGTGTGTACGTGCGCGTTAGTGCGCGTGTGAGTATGTGTGTGTGTGCGTATGTGAGTGTGTGTTTGCTGAATCGAGAGCGGTTCCATCCGCGTGTGATCGTAAACTTATCATTGACTGTCTCGGTAGAAAGTCGATATGTGAATAGCCCCCCCCCCTTCCCCCCTATTCGCCCTTTTCCCGTGTTCTGTCCGTATATCCTTCCTCCTCGCTTGTCGTAAAACATATCGTCCGCGGAGGAGCCGCACGATAGCTAAGCTGGACGACGACGACGAGGGGGGTAGCAGTGGTGCAGTAAAGTTGCAGGAGCCGGCGGCGGCTCCTGCAACTAACGCTCCTGGAGTCTCCTGCGCGCGCCTGGAGAAAGGAAGGAGGCGACGACGTTGGCCTTATCGATTGGGACGCGAGGCGCGGCGGCGGCGGCGGCGCCCTTGTGCGGCGTGTTGTGATCGGGGATGTCATCGGGAAAGGGGCCTAACTGCCTCGCCCTCCCGGCGCTGCTCCCCTCCCCGCCGCTCCCCTCCGCTCCCCTCCGCTCCGCTCCCTACTTCCGGCGCGGACCGGCGGCCCCACACCTGCACACATACGCCCCTCCCCTCCTCCCCTATTTTCTCTCGATGTGTGTGTGTCTGTGTGAGGAGGGGAGAGGGAGGGGGTCACGGGGACGTATCGACCCAACTTTCGTTGAGGAATCGCGGGTATTCAGTTTTTCCTATATTTTCCGCTTTGTGGGCGCCGTCGTCGGGGAAGAATGTTGACGACAAACACAGGCCGCAGTTTACGAAATTATTCGCAACGGTACCTCATCTCATACCTCAGCCTTTCTCTCTCTTTGTTCTGTATTTTTAGACCCTATCGCGTATTGTATGAGGTAATGCACTGCCTGCAAATAAACAGTAAATGAGTGCCTAACGGGATCGGGTTTGGAAGCCAAAATTAAATAAATGAGTTACCGGCGACGGTGTGGACGGGAGGCGCGGGAGTGCGCTGTTATGGGCTTTAGATCGTTGGAGCAGAAGGTGCTCCACGCCCGTCCTGGCGGCGCCCCGCCCTCGTGAGTTCACATGCTGTACGTAATTCAGTACACGATTATCCGGCGGGCCGCGCGGCACGTGTGCGGTGTATAGCGGTAGAGCAGCGGTAGTGGGTAGCGCCGCCGGGGGAGCAAAGGGAGCGGGAGCAGGGGAAGGAGGGGGTTAGATTTTCACACCTTGATTGACATCCCCCCACGCTCACACATCAAAGCCCCGCGCCACCAGCGGCGACGCTACAGCCAGGGCCGTACAAGTGCGCGAGACTAGAGCAGGACTTGCCGTGCGCGTGTGTTTGGTGTTCCCTACGGCGGTGGGTCGGTTCAAATAATAACAACAACGAAACTGTCGCGTGTCCGCCCTCCCCCCCTGTCTCTCACCATCTCGGGCCGAATGCGCGCCTTGTAGTAGCTCCTCGCGGACCGTGTCCCGAAAGTCTTTTGCAGTGGCGCGGCCGCGGGCGGCGCGCGTGTTCGCAGCTTGTGTTCGGAGCGAAGGGGAGTCGTAGGGCTTCCCTGCTGCAAGCGCTTGATCCATCCCATCTCCGCCCGTCCCTCCCCCCACCCTCTCCC